AATTGTCGGTGGCGCTGCTACCTATTCTGAGAATTATTGGTCAGTGATTCATCTATAATTACTCAGTTTGATTCTATTTTACCACTATTCAACCACTTTTGCAGAAAATCAAAACAGATAAATAAGTGAAAAATAATGATGACAATGAGTTATTTATTATTTTGTTGCTGCTAATGAACGATAGTCATTCAAACTAATCTAATTTACTCTTTTTTTTAAAATTTCAATAAACTCCCAAGCTGTCAATAGTCAAGGTCAGCTTGACACTATAACATATCTGATGATGACAGATTTATCTATAATGAATAGATAAAGGGTATTGATAATGCACTTAACAGCTTCACAAAGAAAAGTACAAACTGAAATACGACAACATATCATCAGTTAATAGTTCACTCTTGAATCGATATATTTTGGTGATTGTGATTCTGAATAATCAGTTAAGTTGGTTGTTTTTTTTGAGAATCAAGAAACCGAAGTTTAGTCATCAAGTCGACAAGTTTGAACCGCATGAATTTATTGTGATTTATGCGAATTTATTCATCGTAAATGATGGTTTTGCTTTTTTACTTTTGTGCCCAAAAGTTTATATCGTGATTTGACTGACTTTTTCAGGAGTAGACTCGTCATCTCCACGTTTTACCATCCCATCTTTTTTCAGGATTAGAATGGGCTAATAAGCGTTGAGTGACATCAGGCGTCATATAAGCTCTCGAGTGTGATGCGAAATGGCGGACCACGATTTGGGTGTGGCTCCAAAAGTGACTGACTGACTTGTTTCAACATAGAACTTTGCACCGATGCGCAGCAGTTCGAGTCACCACACTTCACTCAGCACACAAAGTCAGAGAAGAAAGTAAAAAGGAATGCAAAACAGAGACAGTAAACAGAGATATGAGGCAAAAATAATAGTAATATCGAAGAACAATATAGTTTTATTAGATATTATAAGTCACAAGGAGTGGATGTATTTACACCAGCCATTGAGAACTGTTTTGAGCCATATCGCCGATAATCGTCTCCACCTGTCATTATTTTTTACCGTACCAAGGACTCCATCCAGGAAGTCAGTTAACACTTCCTTACGTGGCTTAAACTTACTGTTGTGGATTTCTTTGACTGATGCCTCCATGTTTCTGTTTGACCGCCACTAGCTAACTCTTTTCAAACTTGATCCTATATCAGTCAGCTAACATTGGCCGTTGAGGAAGGCTATGGCTAGACATGTATGCGTAACACATGTCCTAGTCATTTCAATCGATGCAGGTGCTTCATAACCTCGTTGATTGATTTTCCATCCCACTTACCTACCTAGCACTCGACCGATGCCTAACCTCAATATTGCTTACCCTATTATACCACCCAACACACACGGGAGATAGAAAGCAGGCGACTATGATGAAAGACAGCTATTCAGGTTTTTCATGTCCTCCACTTTCAGTGGCTAGGTCTCACAGCAATAAAGGAGGACGGAGCGTACTTTAGAGCAGTACAGATGTCCTTCGGTTGACAGTCAACGGGATATCACGCCTACGCCAGAGACAGTGTAAACTGGCATATGAGAAACTAGCGTTCTGTATCCGTGCTGAGATTTCGTCGGTGGTCAACCCGCTGGTGTTGTCTGATGCGCCTTCTCAAATAAGTGAAGTGGTCAACGTGCTCTATCACTTCACTCCCTGTTTCTTATCTGGGAGTCAGTGTATTCTACTCCTGTAGCATCATCTTACATTTGGCTGAAATGAGCGGACTGCATGTCAAACATTCATAGATTGCAGCTCAAGGTGTTTAGAAGACTCTGCATTTTGTTAGCTTCTTCACCTAGAAGGACTATATCATCTGCATATTCTAAGTCAACGAGATTATAGTCTGGTAACAAGTCAATCCCTGAGTCTCTGAAGTGAGTTAGGGTTAAGTTCATCAGTACATCTACGATGAAACTGAATAGAAATGGGGATAGTGGGCGTCCCTGTAGGACACCACTAGTTGTCACCAGTTCAGATGGCAACTCGCTGTCACCTGGCTGCATGAATCCGCATAGAGTGCCCTGATCAGTGCAGTGTATTTTCTCGGTATTCCTTTCACAGCCAAACATCACCACAGTACCTCTCGGTCGACAGTATCGAATGCCACCTTTAGGTCAAGAAATATAACGATTGTTGGACGCCGGTAAGTATGCCTGTATTCGAGATTCTGTCGAAGGGTGAAGATATGATCAATACACCCTCTTCCTGGCCTAAAACCTGCCTGGTTTTCTCGTGTTTGTTCCTCCCTCCAAAAGTGACATGGAAGAGACTGTGTAGAGAGGAGGTGAAGTTTATGGACTATCGTGGAGTCAACTAAGAAAGGCTACAGAGGACACAGCGAAATTGTGATCTGCTGTTGGAGCCCTATGTTCCAGTGGGAACCTAAGGGGATAATAATAGGGAATTAATAATAATAATAGTAACAGTAATAAATGATAACTAATTCTCTTGATTCCGAAGCGTTCTATTTAACTTTTCTGTATGGCTATAATGGGCAGTGGTCTATTTATTAAAAAACGGGGCATGTTTATTTCAAACAATATAAGTAAATTCTACCTTCATTCAATATCAGTATTCGTATTTACATATAGCCAGAGTAGGGATTAACATTTTTGTTTCCTTATTCATGTGTTTACTCAGAATGAGATATTTTATCTCTGACCAAGCCTATTTCAGTCAATAGTCACAGTGAGTGAGAACAACCGTTGTTAGAATTTGTTTCAAGAGGCTTGCCTACATTTTACTTTGTTTGACCGCTTAAAAAATGACTTATTTGCTATTCTGACCTTCAGCTTACCTTTTCCCCGATCAAAATGAATAATTACAAGGTTGAGCAAGAACTGATGTCAGTTAGAGAATCATTTAAAAATAGCAGGGAGTACCGGATGACTGTTTCATCCTAGTTTAGAGATGTTCATCAGTACGCACGCATGACACACACGACACACCGGGGAGCAGATGAAGGAACTTCAGGTAACGAGATGAGCTCGTTAACTATCCAGACACTGGAAAACAACCTGGTGTTCCAGGTACTCTAACTGCTGTCAATTCGTGACGTTTAGCGCCACTGCTATATATTAAGAACACAAAATTCAGCGAAGACACTCTTTCCAATGAATTTATTATCAAGTTATATAATCTTATATATATTATTATTATCCCCTTGTGTTCCGAGTCGAATACAGGACTTCAGCAACACATCTCTACTTTGTTCTGTTCCCTGTCATCCTCTTCATCTGCAGCCAGGGTTGCGCATATTCTTCCATTTCCTCCTCCAACTCACACGATTTACTCCATGCCGCCGATGACCCACTCGTCATTACCCATCCGGATTCCACTCTAACAATGGCCTGCATTTGGCGTGATATCATTCGATGGTCTTCCCAACGTATGCCCGAACCATCTCCATTTTCTCCTACATATTTGTTAAGCAATCGGCTCTTGGTTTGTTTGTTCCCAGCCAGCCAGAGTTTCTTGTTGACAATTCTTTCTTTCTGGCTGGCCATTTGATCTTGAATGTGGAGAGAGTGAAGTGGGCAGCTGTTGTTAAAAGTTTGTAACTTGTTGGAAATTCTTTTCGCGATACACAGTACAAGTTTCTGACCCGTATAGAAGCACTAACTGACCGACTTCACATTCGTATTGAAAATCCGAATCTTGTTCTTCATGCTGGCTGGCCGATTGCAGATTTCCAAACTTGTTTCATATTGGTAAAGGTGTTTCTTGCCTTTCCGATTTTGGTTGGCCTGCTTTGATATCTTCATCCGTGTTGTCCGACTGCCTGTCTTTGAAACCGTACTTCCTAGCCACATAAGTGAAAGAAGTGACCTATGTCAAATTTCTTTCTTTAATGGTGATTGGTGCCGTTTGTTGTTGCTGTTGGTTGGTTGGTTACCTTCATCACCTCCATCTTTTCTGTGTTCACCTGCAGTCCTGTCTTCGCTGCCTGCCTGGCCTCTTCTGCCAGTCTGTCGGTTTTCGCCAATAAGTCTTCGAGTTTGTGTGAAATTAGACATAAATCATCCACACGCGAAATTCAGATCTTCTAGAGTCTTCTTTTCGGTGGTCCAATGAATTCCTGCCTCCTCGCTCCCCAGAGTCTCACGCATAATTCAGTCCACCACACTTAAGAGTATCATCGGTGATAATAGGCAGGCAACCTTGTCTTACTCCTGTATGCACTGAAAAGCTTCACTGACTCTTCCATTGTGGATCACCTGACAGGTGGCATTGTCATATAGGCAGTTCTTGAATGAGGCCGATAAAGACTTGGGCACTGCATGCCGTAGTGTTGCAGTAGTTTCCAAATTGCTTCTCAGTCAACGCTGTCTGTCGAAGGCCTTTACTAAGTAGATGAAGATGAGGTACAGCTTTGACTGCCATTCTATGCTTTGTTCTGTGATGACGATGCGTTGAGTTGCGATTTGATCAGCACATGATTTGCCATTGCCGAATGCAGCTTGTTCCGGTGAGACTGGCGGAGTTCTTCATCCAGCACATCTTTTATTCTCTCCTTAGTATTTTACTTGGAGTGGACAAGAGCATTATTCCACTGCAGTTCTTACAGAGTGAGGCTTAAGTTGCCCTTCTTTGGCAGCCTCACATTTCTATGTTGAAAGTTGGTCAGACAGTCAGTACCCAGTTTAAGGTTACCGCAGATAAAAATTCTCATTAATGCCAATAAGATTGTACTTTGTTATAATTGATGTAATAGAAATTAATACTAGCAAGTTACTATCCAGAAGAAATTACTAAAAAAAGAACAATCAGTATGCATTCAAGAAGTTATTCTGACTATGGTGACTAGTATGATAATGAAGCGTTTTCCAACAAAAGGCATTGGAATTCTACTTTTACACATAAAACTGATAAACATTTCAGCATCACAAGTTACTATGTAAGTATTACTTTTTACTTGAAGAAGTCTTTGCCTATTTTAACTCATGTTTTTCTGTTTTCTCTCATATAAAACAATAGCTGCTGATGCAGAGAAAACTTTATCATCGGAATTTTTACCGGAATCATCCACTGTTCCACCGAACACTACTCAGGCTACACAATATTCATTATCTTCAGAATCTGAAACTACTATGCTTGATGAGTTTGTACCTACAGACGATAAGGCAGATGATGATCTACCTGAAAGTGAATCAATGGGGATAAACGAGTGAGCCCTTTGATTAGCTTTTTGCTAAGTAAAATTTATAAAATTACAGTTTAGATTCATGATGTTATATACTACTTATGGATTGATATAAGTAGCTGGATACTACTCACATCAATCAGTGTTGCTCGCTAGCCAGTCACGTAGAAGTGATTTAAACATTCCTGATGACCGCTTCACTCGTTCAGTAGATGTCCTACCCAGTTTTGACTGAGCTCAGAGTGTGGTGAGAGATGGTCGCTAGCCAAATTGGTTGACAGTAATTGAGGTCAAAGGTCAAGGTGGACAGGCGGATGCAGTTAACATATAGATGAACTGACACAGCCACAAGATATGCAAGGTTAACTTTGCGTGAGAAACAACCAATCAACAGACTGTAATTTCTACTAACATTGACCTAAAATAATGTACATCAAAATCTATAAATACGTGTTGATTTTCCATAATAAACGATCTGTTGCCTGGCCCTTGTCTTCTGTTGTTACAAGAGAAGCGAATCATTTGAAACCAACTGAATTCCGGCTAGCTACTAGGGTGAAGTGATAATACGTTAAATCAGAACTACTACATTCTGTCCGTAGAATGCAATCAGTATACTGATTTCTGTAAGATGCCCGTTTATCATTTTTGTTTATTATGACGTGTTATTCTCATATGGGTTAAAACCGATTAGGATTTCACTGTATGACCTAGATTAAGGAACTGGATATATATTAGCACCAGGCCAAATTAAATGATCCTCGAAATTTCGGTTCTTATTGATGTAGTTGTGTTCTCTGAGTTGGATAGTTTATTTGCGAAGCTTTCATTGCCCTGCTAGGCGACATCTTCAGAGCACACTTCAATTTGATGAAGTGAGCTTTTGAATTTCTTCACGAGTTTATTAATCATCTCTCCTGGTGACCTTCAGTGTGATTGGTTGTCTTCGTGTGTTTTCACACCCTCTAGGCTAACTGTATTGGAACTAATTGTTTCCTTGACCTGAATTTTGACCCTTTGTGTGTGTGAGATTTCCTTCTTTTCGAAAAAAAATAGATATCCACGGAATTTCATTAAAAGATAAATACCTCCAAGCCGGCATACTAAATCAAAGGCCTCCAAGGAAAGCACAAAGAAAATCGCCCTACCATATATAAAGGACATCTCATAAATCACTGTAAGACTCTTCAAACCTTTAGAAGTTGATGTCACACATAAACCAACAAAATTACTTCACTCAGCTGGCTCTGTGTCAACCAAAAGACTCAACAGCGAAAGGAGATAAAACCAACATCATCTACAAAATAAGTTACAATGACTGCGAAAAACACTACGTTGGCCAAAGTGGATATCCCCTTCGTCTTCGTATCCATTAACATAGACTATCCGTCAAAATACATGATATCCAATCCCTCATATCGCTGTATAGAGACAGCCATGGAGATAAATTCGACTGGGACAACGTTAAAAATCTAAGAAGAGGATACAACAAGAACGCCAGAGAGTTTTTAGAAGCCACCTGGTAATCCAGTGAACCATCAATTACTCAACACATTGACACCGATAAAATTTACTAATTGATTAGAAGGAAATCTCACACACACAAAGGATCAAACTTCACATCAAGGAAAAAATCAGCATTAATACTAGTTCCCCAGAGGGTGTGAAAATACACGAAGATAACCAATCACGTTCAAGGTGGTCATCAGGATAGATGACTAATAAACTAGTGAAGAAATCTAAAAGCTCACTTTATCAAATTGAAGTATGCGCTGAAAGAAGATGTTGCCTAGTAGGGCAATGAAAGCTTCGCAAATAAACTATCCAACTCAGAGAGCACAACTAAATCAAGATCATCCACCTGAGCTACCAGTCTTCTCCATAATATCTAAATTCCGGTTTGGATGTTAGACGAGTTAATCGACCTGCTGTATCGAGCTAATAAACTTCAAGTCTATATCGGAGGTGTTTCATTGATTTCCTGAACAGATTGCCAACCACTGAACCCTCCCAATGTTCAATGTCATTACAAATATTTTCTATTATAATTAATACTGTTATTGTTACCAAAACAAAACTTGGTATATCATGGGCACCAAGGGATGATTCAGACAAAATCGCTTCATTTATCCGAGGGCGATGACACTTTCGGGACTCCCAGACCGAATCAAGTGGTTGTTCTAAGTGACCACTCAATTATTTTGGATTCTGGACCCTATGTATACCATAGATTTGGAATCAGAGTTCTCTAACACCCCTGGATAGAGCAGTATGTTCATCAGTCCCGTCATAAGCTCCAGAGTTTGGCATTAAACCTTTCACTTTTCTAGGGAGGAGCACCCCTACTGAGTGAGGGGAGTGAACAGGACTTATTTTGCTGGCCAAAGCTATAAACGCGTAGGCAAATGAAGGAATTTAGAGAGTCATACCTAAGTCTACTCACCCTCATCTGTACTAGGTCGTTTTTAAGAACACAAATATTAAATTCAGTGTTTGATTTGCGTATAAAATTCAAGCCCAGTGTATCAGCTTACTAGGAGAGATAGTTAGCTTATAATTTTAATATTTTACTCGACTGATCCAAGGATTCTTTCAACAAATTAGCATTATAAAAAGTTTTATCTAGTAAGAAAATAATTACTCTCTGTAATGGTATAATTCAGGGACGATGAACCAAAGCAAGTGATACAGTTGGAAGACTTCGATAACAACAACGACAACATTGTTTCAACGAGTGAAGAACATTCAAGTTTAGACTTAATCAAGGAAGATCAAGAGGATGTAATGATTCCCGATGAAAATGTTGACGATGACATGGAAGCTGAGGTACAATATACGAAAGACAACCTACCTGAAGATACTGTAACAACAGATTTTGATGTAAGTTATTGCATGTATTCTCTTTCTCGGTAGTATATCTTTTGGATTTTTGGGAATATTTATGATGACCAGTATATTGCTGGATGTATTATCAAATGGTACCACGTATACAACGAATCAGGCAATGGATTACTGGAAATATTTGTTTAAGAATCCAACGTTTCTTGTTTCCACGTCTTCTTTGGACAAGAACAGGAATTCTGACATCGGGAGAAACAAAGGTTGCTGCTGAAAGACCATGTACAGTTTTGACAATCAGTATTTCTAATTAATTGTATAGCTCATCTGTGAATTGTTTCTGTAGTATTCACTTGTTCTTCTTCGGTTCGAATCTCAAAAGGGACATAAGTTCCTTCGAGGCTGTAGATACGCTTTGCTGACTGGTGCGTGCCAACTAGCACGAAACTTAGGTCAGGCGAGGCTTCCTGCCGATTGCCTTCAACCATGTAATACCAGCAATAACACAATTTGTTTGGTATAATGCGGTTGAGAGGAATCAAGACTTTTGAATGTAGATCGACTCTCTGACTGGCAAACTTGTAGTCCAAATCAAGTATATTATGACTTTTAAACAAGATCCTAAATGACCTGAATTTCCAAAAATTATTTGAATTTCGAGTCTCACAGTCCAAAAAATTGAGGGGTTAAGGCCAACAAGTTGATAGAATAGGCAGCGAAGACACAACTTCAGATGAACTCAGAAAAAAGACGGAGGTGATGAAGACAACTAACCAACAACAACCAAAACAACAAATTGAATTTTAGATTTTCCCGTCGATTGATTGGACCGAAGTGCTCGGTCTCAGGTTGACATGTCGGCTTCTTGATCAGATGCTTCGACGATGTCTGGGTATTTAATTAGTATTTAATTGGTGGATGGTGACTAGCAGTGGAATCCAGGATGCGCACTTCGTCCTATTCGGGACTCCTCATCTGGATGTACCTGCGAAATTCAAATAAATCAATATGACCCGTTGCACAAGAGGTGGCTCTCATGGCCCAAGTGGTCTAGTGGATAACGCTTTGACGTTTGAAACTATGGGCACTGGGTTCGAGCCTCGGTGGGAACACCATCACTCACTGAGAAATGCAGGTACATCCAGATGATGAGTCCAACATGGGACTAAATGCGCATCCTGGATTCCACTGCTAGTCACCATCCACCATTCAAAACAGCAAACGCCAACCACAATCAACGGGAAGAATCTAAAGCAAGTCACATCTTCATATAACCCGGCTAGGCGTCATCGTTTCAACTACAGGTAGTCACCACGAATAAGGGTATCAAAGCCAGTCAGGATTGGGTCGAGAAAGCAAGAGAGACCTTCATTAGTCTGAAGTCATTGTGGAAGTCTAGTGTAGTCATCATAAGGAAGGAGATTCGGATTTTCAACATTAATGTCAAGTCAGTACTTCTATACTGTCCAGGAACTTGGAGCTTCATCACAAGCATTTACAACAGGCTGCTACAGATATTCGTTAATATTTGCCTTTGCTAGACAGTGAAGATCAGATAGTCGACACTAAAGTGGCATCACACGCCAGGTAAGACCCTTGACTGGTACCCAAATGGGTGTAACGTAGAAGGTGTGACTAATTGGAAATTTGAATTGGGGGGGAGAAGCTGACATGACGTAATAAGTGTGAGGAAATTGCAAATCACTGTGCCTGTGTAGAGTGGATGGGAACTGTTGGAAAGAAGATAAACTGTTTTTATAAAATCTGTATGAAAACACAATGTTATTAATAAACATTAGTAGAGTGATGATAAAATAAGGATGGTGAGAATAATAGTAATAATAGTAAACTTACATAATGAGAGAAGCAAAATTATAGTAAGAACGTTACTCTGACCACAGTAGGGTGGTGAGTGAATGTATGTAGGGCTTTACAATGCAAAAGTCCGATTTCAGATCCCGAACAGCCAATGATTCAGCTACGTACAGATGCCGCAGCGTTGCTATGCGTGCTACTTTTGCATATAATAATACGTTTGGCTAGTTTTGTATGCGAGATGAGTTCCATTGGGCTTGTCTATGCAGTGTATAATTGATTGACTCGATCAATGATCAGCGTAACAATGCTTACCTTTGCATTACTATGTATACTAACGGTGCGAATGGTCCACTGAGGGAGAGGGCTGTCGAGTGGTTGCGCCACAGGATGGTC